GCAGCGCGCCCAGGGCCGCGGCCAGCGCGCGCAGCAGCGTCGCGCCCGCCGTGCCCGCCAGAGGCTGCGACGCCGTGTCCGCCGTGCGCGCCGCCGCCACCAGCGTATCCACGTGCGCGGACGCCTGAGTGCGGCATGCCTTGCAAATACTCTGAAAAATAGTACACGTATAAATAAAGAACTTGATCAAAAACAAGAAGTAGATCGAAGTGAGTGAGCAGAGAGTAGCGAACAGCCACCTGCAAGGCTTGCGCGGCGGCGGGCGCGAGACTGGGGTGGTGAAGCGCGTGCAAAAGGGCGTGCAGACAAGGCTGCAGGCAGGCAGGGTGGCGCTCCACCCACTCGCACAGCTCGCCCAGCAGCAGGATGCAGGTGCGCCGCACCGCCACGTGGCTCTCCGCCGGCATCGACAGGATCGCCTCCACCACCTTCGGCACGTACTCCTCCTCGTCACTAATTGTAACAACAAACAAATCTCATTGTATACAAATGGTTATTCACAGAGACAAACGCACAAAATAGTTGTAGTACTAACGGTAATATATTTTTAGCGACGGCTTGCATGATGAAGAGGGCGGCCTCGGTGTGCTCCCAGGAGCAGTCGGCCTGCAGCGCCGCGAACATCTGCCGGAACACCGCGCTCGATCCCACCATGAACACCACGTCTTTGATCAGCTCCATCACCTTCATGCGGAACTCCTGCAACAATGTCCAACATACACACTAGTAATAAATTATGGTACAATACCATAACATTTTTTTTAAAAGAATTTGTCCAAAAATTTAATGGCACAGAACATCAGTAATATTTTATTCATTCAAAGTTAACTAGCACAAAGGAAAAAATGCTTTACTAATGTCTTCCAATTTAAAGATATAAATGCTATGTATTATAAACACACAAATTATAAACTAATTAACCATAATTAGCTGTCTTTATTAATTCATATTAATGTCTCAAACAATTCAGTGCTAAGTGTTGTAATCATAATCATATAAAAAATGTCATTTCAAATTCATAAACACACAGACATACAATAGAACTTTTTTTATACATTCAGTGCCACAACACAACTCACATGTAAGAATTCTCTTTCATCGTCATCAGCTCACTATATGTCCCCACCGAGGGGCTCGGAGCCTACCCTAAGTTAAGGGTGATTAGGCCATAGTCAACCACGCTGGCCAAGTGCGGGTTGGTTGACTACGGTTGAATTCTCTTTACTACATAACAATCAATGGGTAAACAAAGCATGTAGTACAACTTACATAAAACTCATCACCCTCATCAGGCAATTTAGTGTTGTCAGGCTCAAGCTGGCAATGACGGGCCAGGGCTTCAATGAGCCTCTCAATGTGCGGCTTGAACGCATCAGTCAGCGGCTGCTGATCTCTCTGATACACTTCCTCTGACAATCTATACCACAAATTGAATGTTATTTCCGCTACCTGAAAATAAAAGATAATAAGATAATTGTTATTTTCCTACATTCAATTAAGTGATGCAATTGTTTAATGTTTCAAGGTTTATGTCTCTTACTGTGGGTTATTACTGGTATGACATATATTGTCATTCTTCATATACCATTTGTAAAACAGACACAACAATATATATACATCAATATGAATGTCACAGCAATTAAAACACACAGACAAGTTTCTGAGCATTCAGTAAACATTGCATTAAGATTACTTTCTTATTAATAAAATATTTATACATTCATGACATATATAGTTCATGGAATGAGATACAATTATTTTAGGATTAATTGACCAATAAATTTACAGAATAGTAATAGTGGCCAAGCTATGCATTTTAAAATCCTTAAATTATATAACAAGAACTATACTGACCTCATAATCATGATGACCAACACAGACAAGTGCTAATTCTAGGGACCTCATAGCGAAATGAACCCGTCCACTCGCTGTACAAAATACTATCTTCTCTAAAAATGTCTCAGCCAACTCTGTGAACACTTTAGCATAGTTTACTGCTTTTTCTTCCTCTTCATGGGCTACTGCCATGTGATAACTCTCTTCTAAAGATGCTATACTATCAAACAACAGCCTTTCTATGTCTTCATTATTGTTGTTTTCCTCTAGACAATGCAATAGAGCACATATGCAGTCAGACGCTGCATCATGTAGCAAGTTTATTGAGTTGTGATCTCTGAGAACTTGCAAACAAAAGCCTATCACCGCATTCTGTGGCACCTCATCTATATTAACAGCCCGCACCTGTATCCATGATGTCATACATTTAACTATTTTTAATGATATTTGTGAATTCTGAGAGTTTGCTATGCTCTCCTTTAAAAATAAGCAAACTAAATTAGAATTAGCTCTTAGTTCATTTTTTATCTCTTCTCTACGATTTTCACCTAATTTCAAATTCGGAGAGTCAATTTCTTGAGGCAATACAGTCAATATTTCTAGTAATGCAAATTCATTTTTTGTCGAAAACAATTTAATGAGGTCGCTAACACAATTTTGCCATGTCTGCATTTGTAGAGCCAAATCCGCCAGAGCTAGTGACAGTTGTGTGAGTATAGCATTACTTGTACCAGCTGCTGCATTTTCCAGGTGGGCGATCAAAGAATCTCGAAGGGACACAAGAGACTCAGGTGGCAGCTCAGAGAGGTTATGTTGTACTTTAGATCTCATGGTCTGTGCGGCGAAATAGTAGGACTGTTCATCTTTTTTTTCTTGTAAAAGTTGATCCGATATCTTCCAAGAGTGTATCTAAAAAAAACATATATAACTGTAAACACTACATTGATGTACGTCAAAAATATATTTAGAATTGTAAGTAAAAAACATCGTGTAAAAAATTAAACAGGAGAAAAGATATAAAATTATTTTACTTACAGATTTCTGGACATCTCCAAGCCAAAGAGATGCCTTTTCCTTTTCATTTGCATTGGGGTTATCGTATAAAGCACTTATAGCCTGGTAAACAGTGTCCATTGACGGAGCCTCCATCGTGATCTATTTTTAAGTCGAGAGATAATCTCAACAATTTTCTCACAAAACGTGTAAATTACTTACTTTCATATTAAACTTCGTATAAAACGAAAGGAATAATAATTGACAATAACCAATAACCAAACAAGCAACGTCAAATCGTTAAACAGTCACAAAATCACAAAAAGTCAAATGGATAGACCCACAGACTATAGAGCAGTATAGTTTTCGCACATACGAAAATATTAATGGAATAGAACGCGAATTATGTTATCTGTTTTCCCCAAATGTCAATGTCGTCACAATTGTTCTCTCATTGTATGTGTCACTGTCATTATTATCAAATCAATTATTGTTTGTCAAAGTGTAGGTAGGTAATAAAAAATACATAACCACCGGTCAATTCAAGTACAAATGTTTCGCACGACCACTTCGATTTCCCGCGGTGTTTCAGCATTCGTGAAGCAAACCTCTTGCGCGTTACACACATCCACAATAGCTATGGCTCCTGTAAAGGTAAGCGAATAAACTTTATTGTAATTACATAATATGGCCCGGCTTAATTGACATTTACATTTCAGGTTGGCGATAAGTTGCCGTCTGTGGATCTATTTGAAGACTCGCCGGCAAATAAAGTAAATATTTGCGATTTGACCGCTGGTAAGAAGGTGGTTCTGTTTGCGGTACCGGGAGCATTCACACCCGGTTGCTCAAAGACGCATTTGCCGGGCTACGTTCAGAATGCCGATAAAATGAAGGCTGATGGAGTCGGAGAAATAGTTTGCGTTTCTGTTAACGATCCCTACGTAATGGCTGCCTGGGGCGCACAGCACAACACCAAGGGAAAGGTATATTTGTGAAGTTTATTTTAATACTTAATTATTATGCCTAAAGTTATCCTTTAGCAATAATAATGGTATATATTAATGAATTACATACATAATATTATATTGAACTCTAGGTGCAACAAAATAGGATATAAAATACTCTGAAAGTATGAATTTTGAGCAGGCTGCTTGACCTTCAACCTTATACTTGATAATGAATCGGCTTGAATAGCTTATAAATATTTTACACAATTATATAGGAGCAGATATGTATTGTTTAGTGTTAGCAATCTTTATTTTATTATTCATGACTCTTAAAATTTGATTGAGAACATTCTTAGACAGAAATAAGTTGAATTATATTATAATATGAAATTTATTGACCTTTGTTTTTTAGCCACTAATTCTTTCTTTGTAATTTGATAACCTTGGATAAAAAGTAAACAGCAATTGCTATCTCCTTATTACTTGAGTTGACCTTAGTAATGATAATAGTTATTTATTGCCTGTAGTTCATATTTTTTGTTGTCTATGCAATACAATTTCAAAATATATTTTTGTTAAAGATCAAATGTAAACTACGCTATAATTTTCGAGTTGCAGAAACCATACCTCCTATTACAAGATTAGACAAAAAAAAATAAGTTCAATAATGCAGTATAGTTTTTAACATTGTACAATTTTGTTCACAGATCCGCATGCTGGCTGACCCTAGTGGAAACTTCATTAAAGCCCTGGACCTGGGCACCAATCTACCACCGCTGGGTGGTTTCCGCTCCAAGCGTTTCTCCATGGTGATTGAAGACAGTAAAGTCGAAGATTTGAATGTGGAGCCAGATGGCACTGGTCTGTCTTGCTCCCTTGCAGACAAGCTTAAATATAAGAAGTAGAACTTTCCAGTTACTTGTAAACTTATAAGTAATGATTTCATTAAAATCGTCTTTTTGTAATTTTCTTGCATATTCAATTGTATTTTAAACGCATAATATTTATGTTTGCTTTTTATTAACATATTCTCTAATATGTTAATGCAGCATTTTTATATGTCAGGTTAATTATTTGATACAAAGAAATCAACATTTGCTAAATATTCTAAGGATAAAATTCAGGTAACTTAGTTACCTTATTATATCAAAATATGTTTAATTATTGGCACTAACCCAGTGATATCTTTTTCTCATGCATTTCTTAGGTGAACTGCTTTATATCAAAAGATTTAATCTCATATATGAATATTGTGTGGAAACACTTAGCTTTACTCTCCTTATAGACTGTTGAAGCACTCCTTGTGATAATGAAAAATAAACATTGGTTTTAGAAATAAAAATGTGTTTTATTACACTATCAATTATAAACCTACTAACTGTCGCCCGCGGCTTCGTTCGCGCGGAATTGAAGAAAAACAATTGGTAGCCTATGTTCTACATTTATGCCAAATTTCAGTGCCATGCAGCCACTCTGAAGATACCTTCTGACAAACCTGTATCCATCCATATGTCCCAACATATGCATTTATAGTATTAAGTTTGTATGTATCACTTCTCATCTTAACATATTACTATGTTATAACTTTTATGTATCTTTTTCGAAGAAGCAAGGATCTTTATTATGAAATCCACTAAAAAAGTATATTGCATTTCTATTGCACTGTAATTATAATAATTATTTTAGATAAATAAGGCAGTGAAAAAAGCACATAAATATCAATGGAGTTAACAATACTAAATTATTTACAAGTTCTCAGTAACTGCAAATACATTCAGATTGATAAAACCTTGAACCACTAGCGCGCAACGTTTACTTGTATAACTATGGTATGGTTCAGTGGTTAGAGCCTGTTATTGAACTCTGAATGCAGTTCGATTTTAGACCACAAACTATTTTTTTATTCTTTCTTATACTTTTTAATTGACAAATACAGAGAAGTATCTTGAAAAAAAATACTTAAGAATCGTAACTTGATGTACACATTATGTGCTTCTAAAGATTACTTTTGTACAACACAACTAAGGTTATCAACAGGGGTAAGCAGATAAATGATCTGTAAATATAAATTTGTACACAATGATGTTATAAAAATCTTTAGTCAAAAGTAATATCTATCAATATAACAATAAATAATTAGCAAGTCTTTTTGTTCTTGGGGCTGGAGAGTGTAACGAAGCTGACTCTGCGCGGCGCTTTGGGGCTCGGCACCGCTTTCACTGCCACTGGCTCTTTTATGTCCGTCACCTGAAATATAATATGATATGTAACTAAAGATGTTTAAAAAGGTTTTGTTTTTTCAAAATTCAATTTACAGGAGAAAACTTTTTATGCATCATTTTTTTGAACCTCCATTTCCTTTTTTATTTATTTTTAAAGTGGTATTTGACGAGCTTTTGCCCGCGACTTCGTCGAATTTTTTTTTTTGATTTTATGACCTGGTAACATAGACCTTTAGGGCATATCTTATTTGGAGCGAGTTCGTCGAGCATTTATTTGGACAAAGAATAACCTTTGTAATAATTAGTACTTTTCTCCCATGAACTTTTATTTTTGAAAAAAAAGTTACGAAACTAAAAACACACCTTTGCTTGTTTAAGAAAGTTGCTTTCACATATTCTATTTGAACTTGTTGGAGTATCACTTTGTTTTGGTGAAACATTTTTGAGTTTTGTTTCTGGTGATTTCTTGTCCGACTGTTTGGTTGATGTGAGTGTGTCTTCATAGACCAGTTTCATATCTTCTGAGTCCTCTATCACCATTACTTCTGGGTCTCTGTTACCGCTGTCTACTTCCATTGGTTCATCGCTGGGTTTGGGTCTTATAATCTCATTGTTGGAACTATCGGACCAAGAAGACATGGCTGTTTCTACAAGGAGATCTACTTTAACCGGTGTCTTCTGTTGTATTTTGTCAATTTTCTGCTTCTTAGGTGAGTCATCGGGAGCTTTAAACTTTATGAAGGAATCTATTTTTGGAATATTAGATACTTTTGTTGGTTTTGTATTTTCTTCCTGTTTATTTTCTTTGTTCGTTAGTTTTACTGTTTCTTTACCTGTTGATTCTGCAACAAATTATAAGAAAAAATTACAAATTTATGACGTCATCTAAAATATCAACGAAAGGTTTTTTTTTATAATAAATGGAAAGAGCCACATTACATAGTCAAGATACATAATTTAAATATGTATGTGACATGACATACCCAGTTTTTCAGCTACATCATCAGGGAGCGGCTCTCCGAGCTCATCCTCAGTGAAGGTGATGACAGAACAAAAGCCGTCGGTGCTGGAGGCGACCAGCACGCGCCCATCTGACGACCATGTCAAGTCTGTCAGTCTGTAATATAAACCTATTTGTAATTCTTGGTTAATGTAAAAAGATTGACCAGAGATCGAAGGCCCAAAACAAAGGGTCAGTGAGATGAAAACTAAATGATGAATGGATGAATGGGTGTTTGTTAGAAGGTATCTCCAAACAGCTGTGTGGATCTCGCTGAAATTTGATAAAAATGTAGAACATACACTTATTTCTTTATTTTTAATTCACACTAATTAAGTTTCTTTTTTAATTCAGCGGAAACTTAATCCGTGAAAGCTTTGTACAAGTAATGAGTATAGATTTTTAAATAATCTATTCTTCATTTAAAACGAAAGCATTAAATTGTTACCTAGTATAATGTATGTTGGATATAAGTGCAATGGGAGTCTTCTGTTGTGTATCATACAGCAGCACTGAGCGCTTGGTGGCTACAGCAAGCACGAAGCGGCCGGGCGTGGGGAACGCGGGCTGCGGCCCAGAGGCTCGCGGCTTGTACCGCACTGGAGACCACCGCACTGCCAGCGCTGGCTCGCCACATGGCAGTACACAGGCTGGCCTGACAAGTAAAAAACTCAATTTAGTATACACCAAGATTAATATCCTCACATTTGTAAGCAACATTTTTATACAGATTTATTGATGAAGTAACCACCTGTTTAGGGCTTATTAGGCTTGTAATTTCTTGTATATCCATGGTAGAGCTCTGCAAGGAGTTAGTTGTTGAACAAATATGCTTGATTAACTACTTGTTACTTAGCTTTATATGGTTCCCTTACTTAACACGAAAAAACTATATATAAATATGAAGCACACCAACTTACACTTTTAATGAGTATCTAGTGTAGATATAAACAGCATTTATAGGCTTAAAATCCATCTTTCCTTGCTCCGGCTCAATGCGGCCTGCGGGCACTGCTACAAAGAGTCCATCCGGACTGAACTCCAGCCTTCGGTAATATGTTTGGAGAGTGTCATCATGGTAAAGACGGACTTTCGTGTCATACAGGGCATGGTCTTTGGGAAATGGTAAAACTGCTTTACTGCTTTTAGATATGACTTTCTTGGTTGCTATATCAAATGTGCGAAAAGTTCTGAAATCGAAATATATAAAATTGTTTTTAATTTAGAAATTATACAATTAAAATAGACACCAAAATTCTAAATTAAATAAAGAACAATTCCCATGTTACTCACCTATCACTACTAGCTGAAGCAATAAACTGTCCTTTGGGATCCCATGAGACACCTTGTACAAAGCCCTGATCAGTAGAAAGACAAGTGTATTTGCCTTTTGCAACATCCCACATAAGAAGCTTGTTGTCCACTGAGCCAGAGGCAAGTTGAGCTGAGTCAATACTCCAACTTAAATCCAGAACATCCTCCACATGCCCTCGCAGTGTCTGCACATATTTAAAAAGTATTTAATTTTAGCCATCAAACTATTTTAAATAATTATGGAAAGCTTGTAAAGAACCTGTGTAATAAAAACATGATATACAAAATGGATAAACAACAAAAATCAAACAATGCTTTTACTTACTTTATGAATGACCCAATTTTCTTTATACTGTTCTTCACTTTGTTCTTGTGTTGATCCGACTGAATCTTCGGTTTTTGGCTTCCAAATAAATATAATGGACTCATCGTCGCCAGATGCAAGGAGTTTTCCATCTGGGGACCATCTCACGACGTTTACTGATTTCTGATGGCGCGTTAAGTCTGCGGCTACCTCTAACTTGATAGAACCGTTGTCGGTTATGGAAATATGCCATATCTAGAAGACAACAACATGTCGTTTAACTAAAAATAATTCTATTCTCCTTTTTTATATTTGTCAGTTAAGCTTACCAAAACATGTGTATCAGTTCCCCCAGTCGCTAGCCTCAGTGGTTCATTTTCTTCGCACTTAGGTTGGATATCGACACTTAGAACGGGATCCCTATTATGCCATGATATTTCAGGAATTGAAAACTTCATTTTAGACGTTACTAACTATAAAATGTAAAAATATATTTGTTGCTAAGCTATTTATCTGATATTTCTTCACCTTTTCAATATAAATATAACTAAAAGATGCTAACACATCTGTTTCAGATTTCTATAAACAAAAATATAAATCTGTCAGAAAAAACGTAAAAGTTTATGGCTTTTGGCGCGAAACTGATTTGACATCTGAATCTGATAAAAAAATACGGCACAGATCACATAAACAGAAAAATAGGAATTGCACTAAAATGATTTATCTATGAACTGGACTGAACACTTGGTATTTGGATAATAAGTTAAAAATTTACTAAGGAAAATTTTCGAGTGCTTCAAAAATCATCTTTTTGCTTATTTATCTAAAATCTTCCATAATTAAAATCTCAAAACCTCTTTGGACTTATAGAATTTTAATTCAAGTGGCAACACTACAAGATCTTTCAATTGAAAATTTTTATCTCGCTCGCTCTTTCACTGACGTTTGGTTGATATTGTAAAACGCCAAAATGGTTTGTGTTTCTTATTCTTGAATTTATCCATGAAAATCTTTGTTTGTGTTCAATCAAAAAGAAATTATCGTTACAATTAAGTGATACGACTTTTGACTTTAAGAAATGGTAGCCGTATTTTTATCCCCGGTCATTACTATTTCAGGTGAACGTACCAAAACAGCGCAGGACCTACTGCAAAAAATGCAAGTGCCACAAGGTACATAAAGTGACTCAGTACAAAAAGTCCAAAGAAAGGCACGCTGCTCAAGGTAGAAGGCGTTACGACCGCAAACAGCAGGGTTATGGTGGTCAGTCCAAACCCATCTTCAAGAAAAAGGTAAAAACATAACCTCAATTTTCATATCGATATTTACATATTTGCTAAACGTAATTAATATACAGATATGTGTCTTTCCATTAATTTTGCGGCATCAAATTTATTATTCAATTGTATTTTTTCTATAAACAACAAAGTTAATTGATGAAAGAGTTCAATAACAATTTTCCAGATTGTGGTCTGATGGATAAAATTGTTTAAATAAGTGATATTTAACAATAACATTAAACTATTGTAGACATAGAAATTCTATATTGAACCCAAGGCTTGACTGTGTAACTGAAGTAGGAGTAATGTTATTTCTTGACTACAGCATTTGGCTACAGTTTTAATAAATTAGATGCATGTGAAAGTTACATAAATAAATAACTTTGTTACTTACATTTATAAGCTTCTAAAAGCATCATGAATACTGCATACTTGTATTGTAAAATATATTAACAATTTAGAATCAATCAAGTCATAAACAATATCTTTTTTAGGCGAAAACCACAAAGAAAATTGTGCTCCGTCTGGAATGTGCAGACTGCAAAGTAAGGTCCCAGGTGGCACTGAAGCGCTGCAAACATTTTGAGCTGGGTGGAGACAAGAAGAGGAAGGGACAGATGATCCAGTTCTAGGCTGGTTAATAAATAAGTCAAAAATCTAAAATGTTTTTAATTTATCTCTAATGTACTTCAACTAAACAACTACACATTTAAATTACAACTCTAGATAACATGACTATTTTAAAGAAGTACAACAGTTTTTATTATTTGTTGTTGAATTATTACATTTGTTTGGTGATGAAATGTACTCTTTGACAATCCGGGGAAGAAGATGAACAGTATGACACCTCACTCATCAAAATCAGTTCAGTTGCTTAGGCTCAAGGGCCTAGAAAAGTAATTGCTTAGGCTGTAGGGCCTAGAAAAGTAATTGCTTAGGCTTTAGGACCTAGAAAAGTAGTTGCTTAGGCTCTAGGGCCTAGAAAAGTAGTTGCTTAGGCTCTAGGGAATAGAAAAGTAGTTGCTTAAGCTCTAGAGCATTGAGTCTAGATCATTACCATGGAATTAACATAATTAAAAACAAACAATACATATGTGCCAAAATATCCTCTGTAAGTTGTGTAAAAGGCATAGTATATTGAGAATACCATGCTATGAGGTTAAAATAAAAGATAATAAACAGTAATGAGACATTTACAACATATAAGTCTGTTACTGTATTTGATTCAATAAATACTTATAAAAATAGATATTGATGCAACATAACAATAACAAAATCTGTTTAAAATAGGTGTAGATGAACTTATGTTATTTATGAATATATTACTTTTTCATTAAACTTTCAAATTCATCAGGATCTAGCCCTTCTACAGCAACTTTTAATTTGACGGCTTGGAGAGGTACACCAACTTGTACCAATTTAATGAACCGGTCATACTCTGGTTTTTTTATAGTTTCCGATGTCTGAGACACATTATCCTCAGGTTTATCTTCAATTCCTTTGTCTTCCTGTTGTACAGGGTCTGTTTGGTCTTCAGACTTTATTTCAGAAGTATTTAGAGATTCTGCAGTTGAGCTAGTTTGAGGTGTTTCATTGATCTCTGGAATTGATGAAAGCTGAAAAGTATGGTTATCTTAGCCACTTTCTAGTAATCAAGAAATTCTTACAATATGAAATGATAATATTTAGTGAATCGACAATGTCATACATTTTGACAAATTAAGCACAATAAATTAGCCTAATAATTATTTGAGACAATCCCATTTGTAACTTTTTGAGACCTTTGGAGTAAATATGGAATTTATCACCATCTCATTAACAACTATTTAAACTCGTGAGTGATAAATGAATGATATAATTTACCCGAGCTTCCAACAAAATCATAGCAGCTTCAACTTTTTCCAATTTCTGTTCAAACTGCATAAGCTTCTTTTCGCATTTTTTGGAAAAAGTGTTCAAAAACTGTACGGTAGTTATCATAAAATGGTTTAAGAAGGCAAGTGTTCGTTTTTGCTGTAAAGCTGCAACCTATAACATTTATATGTTGTAAATCATAATGTAAAAATGTTTGTAAAATCTATTAAGAAATTAAAACATACTTTTGAAAGGTCCAATTTTTCAATTTCCTGATTTGAAAGTGTGTCTTGCATTCTGAAGTGATTGTTTTTTTAAGTTTCAGTAAAAATAAAAGAAAAGTTTCTTCAAAGCGCTCATATTAATTTGATAACAGTAAAACTAATTAACATTGAGACAGAGAAAAATTATTTACATTTTCATGTCAGCTGTCAATATAAACGAAAATCTTTTTTAAAAATATGTCAACTTCGCTGGTAAAAGCTTGGAAAACAGACAGCCACAAATGCCATTTTTTTGTATGATAATTTTCATAAAAGTTATTAGTACTTTTGTTTGGTACCTACATGAATGTTTCCAAAGCTTTAGTCGCTTAAGTCGAAAAGTAGAGGCAGTTGCATTTTTTTTTTGGAAAATAAATGCAAAGTCAATGTTATTGAATTTTTGCCATTTTCACAAATCTGTAAAGATTATTTGTTGTTGGCTGAATTTTTAAATATCATTGTCCAATTTAAATTTCAAACTGTCAACTGTCATTCCCTTGCTGACAAACAAATTCATAACAAATAATTGTTGTGCTTAAAATAATTAATAACGCTTTGGAACAATATATTATATTTATTTTATTTCCAAATTATTCAGGACAAAAATGGCAGGGGAAGTAGTTGTGGATGCTCTGCCGTATATTGATCAAGGATACGATGACCCTGGCGTCAGAGAAGCGGTAAATACAATGTTCTTATTTTTACAACAACGAGAACAAGCCGTTTTGGGATTTCTTTTACTTTTTACTCAAATATTATAGGTGTAACAGAAAAATCTAAATCCAATTGTTTGAATATGAAAATAATAGTTGATATAAATTCATAACCTTACTTCCCCAAAACCATGTAATCTTCTTGTTGTAATATTAAAAATATTTTCTAAACCAGTAATTGCGAACCTTTACATATCAACGTGCCCTTTTTATAAACACCTATTATAATATTAGATATCACTAATTCACTAATGATGTTACTCAATCAATTTTGCTGTAAGTCAGTTAATATTTAAATGCTAAGTAAATGACGTCATTACATTATTCTTGCAGGCTTTGGCCATGGTAGAGGAAGAATGTAGAAGGTACAGACCGACTAAGAATTATCTAGAAAACACTGGCCCAGAACTGAGCACAGCATTTGAGACCCCTGCACTTCAGCGGGAAATGGAAAGGGTGCAACAAAGACTACCAATGGAGCCTCTTTCCATGAAAAGGTAATAATAACTATACAAAGTTATTCACACAAATTAGCTTTGTACTGATAAAAGAATTTTAATAACTATAGTTTCTGATTTATATTTCCTAATAATTAAAGTTAAATTGTAAAAAATGTTTTCTTTTTTTCTACAGATATGAATTGCCCCCACCACCAGCTGGAAGGCTGGGGGAACCAACAGCATGGTCAGAAGCAGTAGACAACTCTCATGCGCAGCTATCTCACCAGGCCACACGAGTACTTAACTTGGAGCTGCAGTTACATTATGGGACTGAAGCTTGGAGGTCATATCTAAATGTACTCCAAGCTCTGGTTGCCCGCTCACAGAATGAACACACACAGTTGAGGTATGTTTTTTGGCCAAATTGACCATATGAGTTTGTACATTCATACACTATGTAATCTTTTGGATGCATTCATGAACAATAATTAGTGTCAACATTTTTCCCCTTCTATAAATTGACATTTTAATATTGTATGATACAGGAAGCAAATAGCAGCAGTGAACTGGGAGCGAAAACGGTCGCAGACGGCGAGCGGGGCACGACTCCGCGCGCTGCGCCGCCGCTGGGCGCAGCTCGTCTCCGACAACTATCGTCTCGAGCGCGCCATCATGCAGTTAGAAATTCAATTGGAAAAGGTGAGATGTAACAATTTTTTACAGTTTATTCAACAAGAGGGTCTTTGCCACATTAATTTCCTATTACTTTTCATTATCAACCATTATTAAATGAGATTAAATTTTGCATATGTGGTTATGAAAAAAAATTGTTTCTATATGTGATACAAGTAGCTAAATCAATATAATCTTAAAAACACGGTTTACAAGCATGGGTTTGGCTTACTTGTCATATTAAGATGTTTATAAATTTATTCTGTAGGCCAAAGGACAAACGATGGCTGAGGATGGTGAAGGTGCAGACATGGAAGCTGTCAAATTATTACCAGACAAACTTAACTCGGAAACCGAGAAAGAAGTGCAGAAGAAGATAGAAGATATGTTTGCTGATTAGAAAATAAAATAATATGTAGCCGCTATATGTTTTGTTTTTTTTAATCCTTGGACCGTGCATTTAAAATATCACAATAATATCTAAAAATATCGAAATTAAAAATGAAAACGTTATTAGTAAGATTTTACCTCTAGATTTTCTGAACGTGACACATGTTGTTTTGAACGATTGTCAATTGTTGTCATGTGTCAAACATATTTTTATTAAATTTGAAAATGGCGGACGATGCATCGAGCAGTAGCGGTTGCACCGGCAATTTAGTTGATAATTCAATAAATCAAGATGAGTTGATAATGAAACAACAACGGGAAATAGAGAAGGAGGTAATTTGCTCACTTTTATGGGCTTACCTTTTCTTTGGACTTTTATTTATCCTTAGAATAAACAATAACAACATCGTGTTTATTTGTTTTTAGATCTCCGAGTCGATACCCCTTGTTGGCGATCTCGAAGTTTTGTCGTCACTAGAAAAAGAATACACTGAAGATCCCATATATCTTTTAAAAGTCAAAGATCTCTCTTCAAAATACAAATACATTAGAAGAACTCGTCCCGACGGCAACTGCTTCTTTCGGGCGTTTTCATACGCTTATTTAGAACATCTCCTGACTGATAAAGCAGAGTACGATAAATTTTATGAAATAGCAAAAAATTCAAAAGATACACTGGTTGCATTAGGTTTCCCAGAGTTTACGGTTGAAGACTTTTATGAAACGGTATGTAATTTAAAGGTTATGTTATGATTTTTTTTTGCTGACTCAAGCAAACAAGTTTTTTTAAAGATAAAAGTCTACAAGAGCATACAACTGAAATGTTTTGTACTAACTACTATTGTAAGTTTTGATTAAAAATTTTAACTAGCAAGATTGGTTTTGATATAATTTTTTTTAAATATTGTAATAGGTTTTGATTTAGCTTATGACATGAATTAACTACTAAAATAGTGTCAGCACGAGTTTTTACCCTTTTGTAGTATGCCAACTACTAATTGTAACGAAATGTATTTTTGTTAATTTGCAGTTTATTGAAGTTGTGCAAAGAGTAGGTGAACAAGCGGGGAGCAGTTCTGCCGGCCTGGATGAAGTGCGCGGAGAACTGCATTACAAGTTCAACAAGGAGGGTTACTCTGACTACATTGTGGTGTATCTTCGCCTCGTCACCTCCGGCCAGCTGCGGATGCAGCACAACTTCTACCAGAACTTCATAGAAGGCTCTAGAACTGTTACTGAATTCTGTAGACAGGTTTGAAACTTAAATTCTAGTCAGGCTAGACCCTTTGTACACAAGGAATTGTAAATCTTCAAAACAATTATAACAAGTATGAATGAACCATTTCATACTTTGTAAGAATTAATTTTTAAAACATAATAAGATTTCATATTTCAATTTGTTACGAACAGTATTAGTTTAATAGCATTGGAAGCCATACAAAGGTGTTTTATTGAGGTCATAGTATATGACTTGAGCAACAAGCATTATTGTCATGGCTACTTATTATAGTTAAAAATAGCTTTTATCTTATTTAAATAATGATACTAAAATTATTTTTTGGATATCTACTTCTGTCTTGTCAACTAATATTATTATATGTTATATTTCAGGAGGTAGAACCAATGTATAAGGAGTCTGACCACATTCACATAATAGCACTCAGCAATGCTCTAAACGTAGGTGTGAGAGTCAAGTATATGGATCGCGGAGAAGGAAGTCAGGTAAAGACAACACTATGTATAGTAAAATTAAAGTTAAATCATTAAGTAAAGTATCATTATATCATAATGATGTTTGTTATCTAAGATTTATCAGATGTTCCATTTAGATTAAATCAGGTCTAGTTTTAATTAATCAATGACACTAAGATTTTTGCTTATTAAAGGAATTTTATAGGTTGTCTCACTGAACATGATAATTATTCAAAGTTGTATTGGACGAGGTTGGTTGTGTATTGCAAGTAATATGTTTGTGCAGGTGATTGCACACGACTTCCCCGAGGGCGCACGACCGCTGGTGCACCTGCTGTACCGGCCCGGCCACTACGACATACTGTACGCGTGATCACCATCACAAAGATCTTTTTACCATAATAAATTTAATTACATTTATTTGCTGTTTCACTGTATCCGCTGACCTTTGTAAATGGATTGGCTATTGTATTTTGTGCATATTTGATTTTCGCTGTTTTCCATAGTATTAACTCGTCACGAAACATCAATAGACGCGTTAAATAAGAACAATCAGTTTATAAAGATCAGTGATTTTATCATATTGATGGCTGATAAAGAGAGACCCTACATAGGATGAGCACCAGGTTTATGACAATGATTGTATTTTATTGGTTAGACACAGTTTAAAGATAAATTTGAGGCAATCTGTTTTTATTAAATTAAATGTGGTTCAGATATCCATTTTTAAATGTAAGGTTAAATGATTGAAATGTAAAACTCTAGCACAAAGTTAAGCTTTATTCATAAAAAATGTTTACAAAATCTGTTAATTTCTTAAAAGAGGAATAATAAGTCATTTTTTAAAATACGACAACTAAAACTTTCATTAATTTACTGTTTAAATCTAAAAAATGAAATAGTACAAACATACACTGTTAAAGTAACTTATTTTATAATCTTTTCCATTAACAAGTATGAAAGTACTAAAAGCGGAGGAATATTTAAACAGTAATTGTAAAGAATTAAATCACAATATAAAAAAAACTTATCAATAAATTTTATCTGCAGAAATATACTCCGTCTGGCTCCCGCTTTGGTTTCATGCCCGCAAAGAAAGCTTTTATATCCTCTTCTTTAACAATTTCCTTTTTGAGCATAAAAGTCTTTAAGAAATCAGACAATTTCTCTCGCAATTTGTTATACTCGGTGACCGCATTTATTTGTTGAATGCGATCAAGGGAGGACAAAGCTTGTAAACCCTTTTCATACTGAGAATTCCCATTGCTTCTTTCTTTTCCTAACATTTCATATGCAGCCACTGTGTCCTCTGTGTCTATCAGAAATAGTACAGACAAATCTTTGTACATAGAAAGGCACTCATTGCATGTACAGAGTTTCTGTCGGAAGTTTGAAGGCCAGAATGTTGCTCCTGTAAGGTGTCTTTTTATTCCCTTTGGTCTAATACAACTTTTACTCTCATTAGGTTTGATCCTTTTTGCACCATCATCTTTACCTTCTTCCTCTGTTAACTTTCTTTTGTTTTCATTACTACTAGCAATAGCTTCATCAACATCCCCAACATTACTTTCTGTATTAGGTTCAATTTTTATAGAATTATTTCCTTCAGTCTGTGTACTGTCTCCTTCAATATTCATTGAATCATCTTCAGTAATTGTATCTTGCTTATCGTCAGGTTCTATTGTATTAACAGATTCAAACTTACTCTTTTGTACACTGATTGTTTCAGGATTTGCGGAGCCAGTTTGTTGTATCTCCATTTTACTTGAATCACTTTCTTTTTTCTTTTCAACATCCATTTCTGTTCCGTCTTTCGTATCTTTTACAGTTTCGTTAGCTGGTATGTTTTCATTAACTGCCAATGGTTCAGTGATTGTATCCATAGGTTTATTTGTTGTATTCACAACTGAATCATTTGTTGTATCCATAACTGGTTCATTGACTCCATCTATAACTGGTTCATTGACTGCATCCATAACTGGTTCATTGACTCCATCTATAACTGGTTCATTGGCAGAATCTATAACTGGTTTATTTATTGAGTCCGTGGCTGCTTCATTGGTTGTATCTGTCACTGGGTTTTTGTCGCTTTCAATATTGGATTTTGTTATTTCTTTTTCAATTTCTTCTTGTTTTTGTTCACTAAGTGCTTCTGTATCAGTAGGTTCTTTCAGTAGCTCTTCTTCCAATTTTATATCATTGTCAATAATATCTTTAGATTCAACATCTGTAATAGGCACATCTTTGGTACTGTTAGCTTTGTCTGTAGTGGTTACTTCTGTGTCTTGTGGGGTAGGCTCTTCCTTTTCTTCTTTGATTGATAATTCCTTATTACTTGGAAGTTTACTTTCACATGCATCTTCCTTCTGGTCAGAACTTAATGTGGTATTTTCTGGAACTATGTTTGTAATATTATCTTCTGTCTGTTGATCTTTCTCAGTTTTGACTTCTGAAGTTGCAATACAAGAATTTTCTTTTTCATCAATTTCTGGTGTTGTATTGGAATAAGTTTCATTACTTACATCTTCACTTTTAACTTTTTCTAGTTCATTTGCGGAATCCTTCATTACATCACTTTTAGAATTTATTACAGACTCATTTTTGCTCTCAGCCAATACATCTTTCCTACAAGTTGGATCACTTAAGTTTAGATCTGCTTCATTTATCACTTCAACATGTTGTTCTTCAGTATTTTTTGATGTTCCCTCATTTCCTGAAATGCCATTAGACAGGTTGTTAACACCACTACTGCTGACAATGTCAACATCCACACTTTCAGTTGTTATAGCTAAACTGGTATAATCATGCAAAAAACTATTTTTCTCCATGCAATCTTTACAAATCATTTCAGAATATGGTTCATCAGGGACAACTGCATCTAAATGAGATGCATGAAGCCAGTCCTCACAGATAATACATTGGATCATTTCATCTTCTGATGTAGATTCTGGGTCAGGATAAGGTCTATGGCATGTGCAATATAATCCGCTGTAGTTCTGATTGTATTTGTTGTCTTCATTGAGGTCAGCTTTATTTGCAGTGAATTTACAAGGATGTGAGTTAAACTTGGCATTGCCACAGTCACAGCGAAAGTTTCTCTTAGTATACAATTCAATCAACTCATGATTCTCATGGCACATCAAACTGCAAGCCAAGCATACTCCAGCTCTCTTCAAGGGATTATCTTTAGCATCAGAACAACATGTCATACAGGCATAGATTGCTTGCCTTTTTATATAACCCTGAAAATAATAAAATCGTGAATTTCATAATATTCACATATAAAATGACATATTCAAAAAAAACTGTAAAAATATACATAACTAGGTAGTTTCGTCCTGATTTATGCATTTATTGATGGAGTTTGTTCTTGTAGTAAATAGATCATTGCATTTCAGAAAGTCTATCAACTTATTTATATTAGATTATTTACTACGAGACAAAACGACTTCCTATTTACTTATTTCGTGTAATCAGTGCAACTATTTTCTTATGCCATATAAGACTTACATAAATATCAGTTATTTTAAAGCAGGGCAGCTAATACAATTAGAATGTCACTTTTACGGTTATTTACATTGCTTAAAAGGGAGATTTTTACTATGAAAATAAACTAATGATATAGTAAATTTTATAGAATAAGGTAGGTGACCGATAAATAAAACATCTTACCTTATTGTAAGAACAATTTTTATCATCAGAGGCACCAAGGACGGCATTAGCGTCCTCTTCAAAGTCCTGTTCTTCTTGCAAAACATCCAACATTGTCACAACCTTGTCCCCGTCATATTCACCCATTTCTATGTCTTCAGTAGTATTTGTTCCATTCGTTGTCATTTTTACACCTTCTCTGCAGCTTTACTAAATTTTGTTTTGGGTTCCTTTTAGCACTAATTACAAAACTTGACGGAAGCCGGTTACTGAAGGCGCCAACAATTTATTTCTTTGCATTTGCAACAATCAATCGACAACGGACGGATCCAAAGACAAACAGTCAAAATGGATTTCTAAAAAAACAGAGTTGCCAAGTTCCGGGGCAAGTGTACAACGCAAATAATACACCAAGATTCAGTAATGTTAATATTTTTCTACAATAAATTATTGCCAAAATCCCAAAGCCTATCGAAAGGTGTGACCAATAAAGGTAATTTATAATCAATTCCAGCGCTCTTTTACGTAAAACGGAACGTAAACAATTTAGGTAACCAGTAACCATTTCATTGATTTGATTGGTTGTATTAGAATACAAATTAGTTTAAATGAATGCGTTTTCAAAGTTGAAACAAGGCTCCCACATATTTCACTCATCTTACTTAACATTCAAGATATGGCAGCTTATAATAATACTAGCAGAAGCGCGCGATTTCGTCCGCACGGGGTCATGAAAAAAATCTAGTATAATAATATGTACTTTACTAATAGAACGGATGTGGCAAAACTTTTCTATTTTTACTTCAATGATCAAATAAAAATACATAATAAAAGACGTACGATATAAATTGAAAAGTCCCAATCTTATTGCTTTATTCTTACTTTTTTGGTTTAAAGAAGAAAAGGTACATCTAAGTTCTTCCTGCCATTACCAACGTACAAAAATCCGGCGTCCGGGGTTCTAACTTTATGAAAGTACATCATTCCTGGCCAATAAAGGCTTTTTAGATACGCTACGGTGCCCACGTTCTCCAAGGTTAAATTCCAGCATCCGTTCGGAATATCCATGTCGATGGAGTCCAAAAAGTCCATGCTTAAATTGTAATCTGCACGCGTTAGAATATTTGTGTTCCATTTATGTTGAGCGGGTCTAATGTGCAGATAGGACTTGAGCAACTTGGCCTCCGGCCCCGTCAGGCCGTAGAAGTTGGGGCTGACGACCACGACGCCGTCGGGCTGCTTAACTAGCTGTCCCCTCGCGCACACCTCGGCCTCCTCGCAGATGTTGCTGATGGTCGCCGCCAGTCTCTTTTCCTCTTTCATATTTTTGCAGCGCTCTGGGTCTCCTTGGTCGAGTGCTTCATCTAAAACTTTGATCTTCTCGGATATGTCGCCGCGAAACGGCGTGTTTGCGATCAAAGAGAGGAATTTGTACTTCTTCTTAGCTTTCGGAAGCAGACCCCAGAATTTGAAATCGGTCGTGTAGAAGTATTTTCGTTCGTTGATCGCGTCCCGATTTATCCCGACGGCTATGTGGTAGTCCCGGTCCACGCCATATATCTGTCCCCAGTACTGCATGTGCGTGAAGTGGTTCTCCACCTGCAGCATGGTGAGAGAGGTCTGCAGCAGAGAGATCAGCTCGTTGGTCAGCATAATACCGTTTACCTTCACGTACTCTCTGTATTCCCATAGCTTGTGCACATTCATCTTTCTCGATTAATTATTCCAAAATAAATCCAATGTTTCAAATTGACGTTTGTCACAGACATAGTTTTATAATCTCTGTGGTTCTCGGTATAGGTGTCATAGTATTTCATGAAAAAAAAAAACAAATAACTTCTCTACTTTCTCCATAATTTTGTGAAGAAGTTAGTAAAGTAATAGCATCTTTCAAATTTTTAGTGGGATGACTAGAAATGAATTTTCTTCTAAGGTGTCTTGTGTATAGGTTGATGTTGTCTCAAATAATCGGCAATCAGGTCTGCGTAACGCGAGCGAGCTTCTCGTGTGGCAATTACCCCAAGTCAAATATTTGCGGGTCCTTCGCCGCTCGTAACTTGTAACACGAGTCCGGGGTACTATACGAATCACACAGTAAAGCTTCACGTACACTGCACTGACATTTATTTTGTGATAAAAAAATAAGTTTACAAAGGACATAAAGATGATTATCCACTGTCGTAACGACATTATTGCCATCACTTTCATTATCTTTGAAAAAAAGAGAGATAACAATTATACATGTGTTTTCATGTACGATGTCACGATAATTGACATACACCGACACAATGAGAATACTCAAGTACTTATATTACGCTTGTAATATAAAATATATTTTTTATGAAAAAAATATATTCGATGTAAAATACATCACTTGTGTGAACTGATCTTTATCTGCTGTAACTCGGTAACAGTTGTCGGGTCGGGAAAAATTGGCCACTGGACGGATAACTTGAGATCCAATTTATTTATTTTCCCGTATTGAAAACCAGTGTCGTCTTGCTTGTTTACAGGCTAGCGTGCAATATTTACACTTGTGTGTACTCCATACATTTACACGCAACATTTCTATCAAATTGAGTCACATTGTTTTCTATTGCTATTGCTCGTAACTACATTTGCTATTTTAAAATTTTTATCATGTTAACAGTGGTTTTGTAATATTTCCAAGTAACTTCCAATTTTTTTATAGTATTTTTTGATTTTGCTACTTCACAATAGATGGCGTAGCTTGTTTGATATGAATAAAACGGTCGATAGATGGCAGTATGTTTTCAATATCAATCACAATTTATCAATAGTAAGTGCTTTAATATGAATAAACATATACTCGTACATACACACAAAATATAATGTTTTGAATTTATGTTTTTGGTGATTCACAGTTAACTAAATAGTTGTAGTAATATTAAATATTTTGAAATGTTATGTGATCAGTTTCGTATATTTTAAATATTTAGTTTGTTATTGCGGCTTTTTTGAAATTAGACTCACGTATAGCGGAGCGGAGGTGCCTCTACAACTGGCTGAGGCTGGTGGTCATTTTCCTATACTTTACCTCTCACTTATAAGGTGAAACAGAACAAGAGTCTAGTGTAGCGTAATGACAGTGACAAATACTGAAAAGCTTGTTGTTTGGATAATTCCTATTTATATTATTATTTTTTTCGGCTGCAAATGTCCACGTACTGATTTTTTTACATCATTTTGTACGAGTGTCCTGTCCTATCCATTGTTGTCATAAATATTAAAATTTAAACATGAAGCACTCCTCACAAAATTGATGTAACAAAAAATTCACTTGAAAAGATTTTAGCACAGATAACGTGAAAACGGTTGTCTAATAAACAATTGATGAATAAGTGTGACACGTGCTGCAATTAGCCTCTTGCACCTCTGAGAGGTTAGGTGGGCGCGATTTGACACGCGCCGCGCCTCTCCGCGCCCTCGCAACACCCCGGACCTCTCCCGCACAGAGAGGCCGCGGACGTGCGATCTCGGCGCGAGATAGACACAGCTTGGGCCTCGTTAGCACGTGCTGTCACGTCACACGTCACGCGGGGAGGATTGGGTGACATTACACCTGTGACAAGATCTGAAGAGGCCATTAAGATGATACAAAATAAGGGTGCGGTAACGAAGGAGCATTGCTTCATATTTCAACGGTACAATACGATAAGTTTAGAATATAAGTGTTTTTCTGGCTAAATATTTGTACAGAGTAATGATATACCTACACGTAGCATATTACACATTATATGAAATTATTGCGGTAGTTATAAAATGACTCAAGTGATCTCAAGTGAAGTATTGACAGTAATCAAGTCATAAAAACCCATATCTGTTCAAAAAACTCGACAAAATACATGCCATTTGTTCGACAGCGTTCAATTCAAACTATAATGAAAATATTTTTCCACGCCACAAACACGTTTGTTTGATAAACAAAGGCTCTGACAAATTTGATCTGAGGTGAACAATGAGGTTAATTCGCCAGAAGCGGCCCACGATTCAGTATCGCAAATCGAGTGTCCGCACCGCCGCGACGGCCCCGCGCCTCACCCGGTGCCACGCCGCGACAGCCGACCGAGTGAGCAATCTCAATGAATCCGTCCAAAAACAATAAAGCCGTTCCCACAACCGCGCCCCGGGCCGACCCCATGAGACCTTAATCACCCTATTCTCTTTATTTTTAACGTCTAATTGTTTTGGAACGAGAGGCTGGCTGCGAGGCCCGCGGGCGTCGCTGCGTACAGGAACGATACGCGCCGCGCCGCTGCGCTCGCGCACCGAACAAAAAGAAAACATCCCTCGCATGAATGGCTACCGTAAATTCGTTACAGTTTACCAACATTCACTATATTTGTTTTAGAGATTACATTTTATGATAATACGCAATACAAAAGTCGGATTTACTTTTGTGTTTTGTGTTTAATATGCGAGCGATACCTTGTATAATGTTTTATACCTCCACAATATGATCATATCGAATTGTTAAAAGGAACCGAATTTAAAATAGTAAAAATATAATTCAACTTCTAATGTATGAATTGTGTAAGCTTCACTACTCGTATTGACTGATCTTTGCAATAATAAAAAATGAAAAGGGACTTGCGCAAGAAGCCATTATTTCCAATAGTTCAATTAACACAAGAAAGAATCGAATCACACGTAAACATTTAATGACCGCTCTAAAACCCATAAGCTGTAAAAAACCGAATAATTCCCACAATCGAAAATTATAAATTGCAAAATTCGAGTGCTCTTTTCCCACAATTAAAGCGCATAAGAAAAGAAATGAAATGACGAAAGCTGCGAGCGGTCGAGTGGCGATTTCCGAACGGTTACTTACAAAGGGCGGGAATATTAGGTGTTTAATCGCGAGTGAGCGTCGCAATCGTGCGAGTTGGGCCGAGGCGGCTGAGGGGGGCTGAGGGGGGGTGGGGCAACAATGGCGCGAATCTCAGATTAAGGTTATTTGTGCTAAACAGCGCGCCATTGTGCGTGCTCGTCGGGCGCGCGCCTCGTTGCTCCCAGATCGATCGCAAACTCGCGACCGGCTAATTGCTCGTTGGCGGCGATTATTGTGCTTTATGCGTTGTTAAGATTCATGCACTCGCTGCTCGCATGCTCATTGGCCAGGGGTTGACAATATATTTTATTTAATTTGTATGAGAAAATCTCACGATCTCATAAAGTGGAACAAAGTTTTGAATATGATTGCAAATATAGAGACCTATTGATTAGTAAAATGCATAAGGAATGGAGAAACATGTTTTAATTGTTTGTTATTCATCCAAACATTGTAAGTAATATGTTAATAACATACGTACTACATATAT